GACATTAAATTTAAGTAGCATATCAAAAAAGGATTTTGTTTTTGGAAATTCTGAACAAGTTAGAGCATCAAGGTTTATGTCTCCAATAACGTAAAAAATTTTATTTTCTTTATTTATTTTTTCAATTGTATTTTTGATAAAAGTTTCAAATGTTTTGACTTTACCACTTGGTGGACGGTAAACGCATCCAATTAAAACATTTCGAATTTTTTTGTTTATGATTTCAACAAATAGACTTTTGTAATTATCATTTGAGAAGCTTAATACATTTTTTATTTTAAAATCGTGCTTTTTTGAGACATAAAGCCCTAACCCTCCACCTTTTTTTCCACTTTTTCTTGGTTGACTTATAAGTTTATAAAATGGCAAATTATAAATAGAATTTAATTCAAGAGAATTTTCAAAATCATGCCAAGTCTCTGAAAGAGCTATGACGTAAAACTATAATCTTCATTTATAAAAATATTACTCCCCTTTAATTTTATTGCATTTTTTAAGATTACTTTTTTATCTTGCTAAATACGGCGAACAAAGATGGCTGCCTAATTGAGTATTCAATCAACTTTTTTTTAATCCGTGGTTATCGAAACAATCATAAAAGAAAAACGAATAAAGAACCTTAACAATAATACATTATATATTTGTATTTATAAGTTTTAAAGTTAATTTTAAAAATAATGGAAATTACATTAAAAAATATCGAGAAGTTAATTACAAACAAACTCGAAGAACAAAAAAAGAGTATTTTAAAAGAAACAGAACGCCTGTTAAAAGATCAAGAGAAAAACTTTACTGATATAATTAGTGCTAATTTAAAAATACTCACTAATCGGTTAGACAAAATTGAAAAAGAAGTAGACGTAAACAAATCCAAAGTCTTAAGCATAGAAAACGACCTTCGCGATTTTAAAGAAAGTCTTAACTTCCAAGAAACAACTATTATGGAAAAAATAAATAAGATCACGAAGCGTTACGAAAAGGAGATAAACAACTTAAATAAGAAGACACTAGATTTGGAGAATCGATCTCGAAGAAACAACCTAAGATTAGATGGAATATTTGAAAAGCCAAATGAAAATTGGAATGAGTGCGAAAATGCAGTAAAGGAAATGTTTAAAAAACAACTAAAAATAAGTAATGAAATTATCATAGAAAGAGGTCATAGAATAGGCCAACCTAAAGAAGATAAGAAACCAAGAACGATTGTCCTAAAGTTATTAAATTTTCAAGACAAAACAAAAATACTTAACGCTACAAAAAACTTGCGAGGAACTGGGATATATGTTAATGAGGATTTCGCTAAAGAAACGATGGAAAGCCGAAGGATGTTGTGGGAAGAGGTCAAAAAGTTGCGACTTGAAGGTAAGTATGCAGTTATAAAGTATGATAAAATTGTTTCTAGAGAATTTCGAAAGTAAATGCGCTCACTCTTAATAAGAACTCCTTTCTAATTTATTTGTGATAATTAATCATGGCTTTAATAAGTGACTTTGAAACTCTTGTCTTCAATTTTTTTGAAACAAAATTTTTTTCACTACACGAAAACTCCGACCCAGATATTAATTATTTCCATGATACAAAAATAGAATGTTCTTACTACTATCCAAATGAATTAAAAGGAATTCTATTTAAGAATGTTAACAATGATCAAATTAGAATTCTGCATGTAAATATCAGAAGCATTAATTGTAATTTTGAAAAATTCCAAAATTTACTCGAGGAAACTAAGTACTTTTTTAATATTATTTGCTTAACTGAAACTTGGGCAACCTCAAACGACATAAAAAAAAATTTTAATTTTTATCTTTCTCATTTTGAAATGATCTCTCTCGAAAGACAAATAAATAAGCGCGGTGGTGGAGTTCTAATTTACATTCATAAAGATATAAAGCATTGTTGTAGAAATGATCTTAGTGTTTCTGACGGCGATGGAGAAATATTAACAATTGAGATTATTAATGAACGAACAAAAAATACTTTAGTTAGCTGTTGTTATCGACCGCCAGATGGCGTGAGCGAGAACTTGAGCATGTTTTTACAGCAAAATGTTATTGCAAAAGGTAACAACGAAAAGAAAAAAAACTTTCTTGTTGGTGATTTTAATATGAATTGTTTTGTCTACAATGACGATAACAAAGTTAAAAATTTTTATGATACAATTTTTGAATCTGGAGCAATCCCTTTAATAAATCGCCCAACAAGAATAACAAAAAATTCAGCAACTTTGCTGGATAATATCATTACCACAGACTTGTTCAACAATGATATAAAATTAGGTATCTTAAAAACGGATATTTCGGACCACTTTCCTATTTTTCTAACTATAAACACCGACCAACTGCCTAAACAAAAATTAAATAAAATTGTAAAAAAACGTTTTTATACATCATCAAACATTGAGGCCTTTAAAAATTAGCTCTCATTATTACATTGGAAACACTTAAATTTTAATGAAAATGCAAACAACCTTTATGAAAAATTCTATGAAACTTTTATCTCTGTTTACGAGTCTAATTTTCCAATTGTTACAATTACATTAAAAACAAAACACTTTGATAATCCCTGGATTACCAAGGGGTTCAAAAAATCATCCAAAACTAAACAAAGGCTATACATAAAATATCTAAAAACAAAAACACCAGATAGCGAAAAAATTTACAAAGATTACAAAAATCTATTCGAAAAAATCCGAAAAAAATTAAAAAAAAATTACTATTCAAAATTAATTAATAAAGCTATAAATGACTCAAAACGCACTTGGCAAATATTAAAAGAAATTACAGGAAAACAAAAAACATGCTCAAGCTCTTTGCCACAAATGCTTAAAGTTGATAACAATAGCTTGCATGAGCCACAAATAATAGCTCATGAATTCAATAAATATTTTACTGAAATTGGATCAATCTTATCAAGTAAAATACAAAAAACTCAGACCTCATTTTATGATTTTTTGTTATCTTTTGATAAAAATATTTCCTCTGAAGAATTATCTGCTGAACTATCATTTGATGAGTTTGAGAAAGCTTTTAAATCTTTAAAAAAGAATAAAGCACCTGGTGCAGATGAAATAAACGGGAATATTGTTATAGATTGCTATGAACAATTAAAAAATATTCTTTTCAAAATTTTCAGAGCATCTATTCATCAAGGTATTTTTCCTGAACGTTTAAAACTTGCCAGAGTTACCCCTCTCCATAAAGAAGGCGACAGATCCAATATCAATAATTATCGCCCTATCTCTGTTCTTTCTATATTTTCTAAAATTTTAGAAAGAATTATTTTCAATAGAGTATACAATTATTTTAATTACAACAATTTATTATATAACAATCAGTATGGTTTCAGAAAAGGGAGCTCAACTGAACATGCCATCATTCAATTTATACATAACATCTCTAAATCTTTTGAAAAATCTCAATACACACTAGGTGTCTTTATTGACCTATCAAAAGCTTTTGATACGGTCGATCACCACATCTTAATCCAAAAAATTAAATATTATGGTTTAAACAATAAAATTTTAAAATGGTTTGAAAGCTATTTAACAAATCGAAAGCAACTTGTGTATAGTAATGATGGTTATCAAAGTGAACCCCTGAGCATAACTTGTGGTGTTCCACAAGGCTCTATTCTCGGACCACTACTATTTTTAATCTATGTAAACGATTTAAACAAAGCTTCCAAATTGAAAAGTATAATGTTCGCTGATGATACTAATCTTTTCTTATCCCATACTGATATTTATGAACTCTTTTCAACTACAAACAAAGAACTCAAACACATTTCGAACTGGTTCAAAGCTTATAAATTAACTTTAAATATTAACAAAACAAAATGGATTATTTTTCACTCCTGCGCAAAAAAACGATTTTTAACAAATAATATGCCTCAAATTTACATTGATGAAACTATAATAAAAAGAGATACTGTTATAAAATTCTTAGGTGTTTATCTTGATGAAAATATTACTTGGAGAAAGCATATTGATCATATAAGCACCAAAGTTTCTAAAAATATTGGCATTTTATACAAAGCTCGAAATTATCTAAACAAAAAAAACTTAACCCAGCTCTATTATTCATTTATACATAATTATATAAATTATGCAATCATAGCCTGGGGAAGTACGGAGAAAAGTTAATTACAACATCTTTATCGCCGTCAGAAACATGCAATCCGTGTAGTTAATTATGCGGATCGCTTTTCACGTTCGAAATATTTTTTTGATTACATGAATGTACTAGATGTTTATAAACTTAACATATTTAATGTTTTATGTTTTACTTTTATGTGGAAAAACGATTTATCTTTATTTGTTTTCAATGACCTTTTTTCTTTAAAACCAATAAATAAATACACATTAAGAAGTAATAGTTTTCTAAATGAACCATTTTGTAAAACGAAGTTCAACCAATTCTGTATTGCATATCGTGCACCCCATCTTTGGAATAAAATAGTATTACCAAATTTTGACCCTTCTACTACTCTTCCTGTTTTTAAAACTAAATTAAAAAACTTCATTCTCTGTATGGACAACATTCTAAAATTCTACTAAAAATTTATGTAAAATGTATTTTTCAAATCTTCAGCATATTGAGTATTAAAATGTTAGTATATTGTATATTTGCATTATGTTATATTGTATTAGTATATTGCATATTTGCATTATGTTAAATCTTTGCATTATGTCTTTTTTAAGGTTCCGGTGATAAGATCCTTCTGATCTTCTTTCGGAAACCTAGTCTTATATTGTTAGTACGCTGAATTGTATATACATATATATATATATATATATACTCATTTTTTTTTTCTTTTCTTGTAGAAGTCTTTAATATTTTTATGTATCAGACTTATATTATTATATATCACGACTTATATTATTATATATGTATCAGACTTATATTATTATATATCACGACTTATATTATTTTGTATCACGACTAACATTGTAAACTAAAAAAAAAAAAAAAAAAAAAAAAAAAAAAAAAAAAAAAAATCTTCAAAATCATTAAGCTTTAGTACAATGGTTCGCTCTCGTTCTAATTTAGCGAGCCCAACTCGATGGGCTCGTTCAATTTTAATATCTTTCTCGATTCCAAGTTTTACGTTAAAAAGCTGTTTTATTTTTTCTTTAGTTATATCCCAATCCTTTTCTTCATTTGTTTCAATAATCCCATCAATTCTTAAGTTATTGCGCCTGTTTCGATCTTCATTATCTACGCTTTTTAGTTTTAGTTCCGTATTGTCTGAGGATATTTTTCCCTGCATTTTTCTGACATTAGTTAAATCTTCACAAACTTTATTTATTTTTTCGCCTACAGCTTTAACCTTGTCTTCGCATACTCCACCAACAAAATTCAACCCTGATTTTAGATCGTCAAGTTCGCGACGAATATCTTGAATACTCGATTGGAAAATATCAAACTTTAGGTTTGTGCTTAATATTGACTCCCGAAAAAAAGATATAATTGTTTCTTTTTGAAGATTTAACATTTCCCTCATCATTACAATCGATACAAATTCTTCCGATTTAGTCATTCCAGATGAAATATTTTATGTAAAAATAATACACAAAGAATTATTAATATTTTATATACTTTTTATTACTGCGAAGAAAAACACGTCCGTTCACCACAATGCTCAAAGACCAAAAAATTAAAAATTTGTTACTGTTGTTCTAATTATATATTTTTTGTTTAACGTTTCATTTATTTAGGATTAACTTATTTTATCCAGTGCAAACTTCTTCACTCGAGCGAAATCCAAAAAAATCTAGAGCTACTCTATTGAAACATAATGCATATAATGACCCACTCTCTAACGTAACTTTATTATCATCAATGAAAAAAACAGAACAGTAAGTCTTTTATATTTGTTTGTTGCAATTTTACATTAATGGTTACACACACTCAAAACACACACACAATACACACACACATGTTCATCTCCGAAGGTTATCCATAATATTATTATTTTCTTGATTAAAATGAAAATTTAAAGCTAATTTTTACTAGCAGAAAATTTTTAGGCTGAAGAAAATTTGTTAGAACTGTTATTGGTTATTTTTTAGGTTGCAGTGTCTTGACATACCAATAAAAGCATTGTCTCCACTTCCAGTTAGAACTTCTCTTCTCAAAAGAAAAAAAAATAATTCTAATACAACTGTATTGACGAGTAGTCCTTACAAAGATGCACTCTCTGGAAGAGCTTTACTGCGACCAAATAAAAAAATAAAGCAGGACAGACAATGTTTGAAAGAGTGTGAGCAAGCAAATAAATCTCTTCAAAATAAAAGCTGGTTTTGCTACCTCTGTGAAGAAAATATAAAAAAGAGTATACAATGCCTTACATGTCAAGGCTGGAGCCATAATGACTGTGCAGGTGTTAATCAAAAACAAAAACGTTATATTTGTAACTTTTGTCAAGAATAAAGATTTTCTGTTTTGTATTATTAATATAATGTGCAGTATTATCCATCATTTTCTTACCAAAATTCTAGAAACCACATAAGTAAGTTACACATTTAATATAAAAGTTATACCTTATTGAGATGTTTTCAGACTATTCTAGGAACTTTTTCACATTGCTTGGCACAGAAAAAGATCTTTATAAAAATCATTCAAAATGTACTGTAAATTAATATAGTATTTGTAAAATCAAGATATAGGTACAATATTAGATTATAATGGTACGATTTAGGATTTTTTTTTCCTTAATTGTACCGATAGCGTATTTTTAAAATTTAATTTCCTATCAAATAACACGTTTAAATATTTGAATATTTCAACCTTTTTAGAACAGTTTATCCCCAAATTATAAAATAAAATAAAGTCTCATTGTTTCTACTTTGTATTTTTTCTCTATTTTTGACTTTACTCTTAGAGGGTACAATATCGGCAACCTTACCCTATTATTACTAATAAAACACGCGTAACAGATTTCAAATTTTTATAATTTTTATCCATTTTTAATAATATTTACGCCATTTAAACGCAATCAAAATACAAATTTAACGGGATCGAAAATTTAGTAAAATCATTTTATTAGTTACAACTAACAGATGCAGCTCATGAAAAGAACAAGGGACCATTAATAATCTAATTGTACTTCATATTGTTACTTAATAACCCAACTAATATAAATCAAACTGCCTAATAAAGTCCTCTAGTAGCCGGAGACTTAGATATCTTTGGTGGAATGGGTTGTCGTGGCATCTTGAAATTATCAACACTCGAGTACCAATCAGCAAATTCTTCCCCACGAGTTTTGCGTGCATATTTAATTCGTTCCTATGATAAAATTGTTAAACATTTTATAATTTTAAATTAGCTCAATAATCGATTTATAAACATTTTAACCATCTATATTTACTGTAAGCAAATAGAAAATGATTTTGATGTTAAATAAGTGTCTGCATTTAGGAGACACATATTATACATTACATTAACCTATAATAGAAAAGTTTTCTTTTCCTCGCACACTATTCGGTAGTTATTTTTACCTCGCACATTATTTGGCAGTTTTTGTTCTCTCACATACTATTCGATAGTTTTTCTTCCCTCACACATTATTCGATAGTTTTTCTTCCCTCGCAAACCATTCGGTAGTTTTTTTTTCCTCACATACTAATTTAATTTCAAAACGCAAAACAAATTATTTATAAAACATTTAAAATGAAACGCTAACATAGTTTCAATAGAAATGATTATAACAAAAGTATATATTACGATGAGTATGTTCAAAAAATATTATTATCCATTCAATTTACATTAACTGATGATGTACTCTTGGTAGTAATTTATTCCATAGTTTAACGACACTGTTTTATGAGCTTCAGTCACCCTAAGCCAGACAGAATCTGTAACTGGATAGATTACAGAGTTGGAAAAAAAACCAACCCAAAAAAACGCATCTTTAAAAACCCAATAAAATCCAATTTTATAAATAAATTTTTTAAATGTCTTATTTTGCAACTAATAAGACTCAATAACTTGTGACACAACCAATTTACCACACATGCAATGTGTTGTTGAACTATGTTAATCATTATTGGATAGCTCACATCAATATGTTGTTCTGCGTGAGTTTTCTACTGATTCATTGGAAAAAGAACTTAGCAAATTGTGCCAAGGTTCAGGAGGTACATTTTCATAACAGTACAACAAGTGATTGAAAAGTTGAATATTTCAAGAGCTAAGCTAATGTTATCACTTGATAACCCAGCTGTTGAGACAAGTCTTGATACAACCAATTCTTGTCCAAATTGTGGTTTTCTACTGGTTGAGCACTCTAGTGAGATATTTGACAATCTACCAGATCTTAAACCTTTTATTTCTTTTGATACAAATATGGCTCTTGTGTATATATATATATATATATATATATATATATATATATATATATATATATATATATATATACATATATATATATTTATATATATATATATATATTTATATATATATATATTTATATATATATATGTATATATATATATATATATATATATATATATATATATATATATATATATATATATATATATATATATATATATATATATATATATATATATATATATATATATATATATATATATATATTGACTTTGCAATGACAAATGGCGGAAGCGTTTATTTAACGGTGAAAAGAGGAAAAAGATAAAAGGAAAAACAAAAGAAATTATTTTAAAGAATAAAAAAGATAAGTTAAAAATAAAGTAAAACAACAAAAATATTAAAAGGTATAAACGAACTAAAAGATTAAAGATAAAATAAAACAAAAAATAAATAAAAAAGTAAAACGAACAAATAGATTTAATAAAATAAAACAAAAACAATCAATTAAAGGCGAAGTAACAAGTTAAAAGAGAAGAAGTTCAAAGAATGTTCAAAAAAATAATAAAAAGAACTAATTAAAACAAAAATAATTCGCTAAAAAATTTCTACGCTTTTCTGTTTCCGCCAAAAATAACAAATATTTATTTTATTTTGTAGCAGTTTTTGTGTTTGTCTTTTCGTTATGTAGTTTTTGTTTTGCCTTGCCTTTTCGTTTGCCTTATGTTTGTTATTATATGTGCTGTTGTTGCAAATTATTTTTATTGTTGTTCGCTGTTGTTATTAATTGAGTGTTTTCATTTTTTTATTTTGTCTTTTTATTTAATTTATTATAGCTCAATCATTTTTTTTTTTTAATAATTTAATTTATGCTTGCTTTATTAATATTGCTGTTGAATTTTTTGTTTGTTTGATTATTTTATTTAGGTGTCACTCCAATGACTAGTTTTTAACTATATGAGTGACACCTAATCTAATTTTGTAAAATTATAAAAATCTTGTAATTTTCTTTTTTGGGTTGAATAAATAGATAAAATATATATATATATATATATATATATATATATATATATATATATATATATATATATATATATATATATATATATATATATATATATATATATATATATATATATATATATATATTTAAGTTAATTATAAAATTACTAAACAGATTTTTTTTAGCTTTTGCTGTTTTTAAAATAGGCACCAGTCAAATACGTTGTTTGCGCGTTGGCAAAGCTTGCATAAAGATAGCTGTGTTCACAATCAATAACTGAGACTCAAATTTACCTTTTCAGTTTTTTCTCCTTAAAGTTGTTATTGAGTTTAGGATTGAGAGAGAGAGAGAAAGTTAATAAATAAAACAAAAATATTTTTTAGAAAATAAGCTTCTTTGACTGTAGTCGACACTGGAGCAAATGTGGAAGTGAATTTATAAATATTTAAAAAAAAAATTCAGTATACACACAATAAAAATTTGGAATTACCAAACTTAAAAACTATATAACCCAATAAAACCCTTTTTTCCAACCTTAACAGATCAAGATTTAGTGAGACAACAGCAAAAGTTTCAATGCTGTCACAACAACATCAAAATGTTGCAAGATTAATGCAGATTTTACAGACTAAATAAATTTAACTAGCTGATTGCAAGCAATTCAAGATTAACTACCTGCTGCTTGGCAAGCAAAACTACATGCTGCTTAGCAAAAAAAAACATGGATAATTTAAAATACTACTTGCACAAAATAGGAAAGACCTCCAAGATACCTGAATAAACTTCTTATCTTTGCACTACAAGTTTAACTAGCTTGACCATATTATCACTAGAGGTGAGAAGTGGGTACTTAATGTAAACCACACCAGGAAGTGGCCTTGGCTAAAGCCATAATAATAAGCAAAACCAATACATGCATGGCATTGTGTACTGGGAATTATTTTCACAGCTTCCACTGAACTCCTCAATTACAGAAACAACCTACTATGCTTTACTCAACTTATATTTTTGCTTTAAGCAAAACTCCTGAAGAAAATGCCCAAGCCAATAATGCCAAATAAATAATAATAAACACTTATTTTGAAAAACACTTTTAACTTTCAAGCCAATAAATAATAATAATAAAGTTCAATCAATTCAAATCAATAAAATCTAAAACTACGACAATGTTTATTATTATTATCATTATCATTACAATCTTGCTAGATTATTATCATTACAATCTTGCTAGATTATTATCATTACAATCTTGCTAGATTATTATCATTACAATCTTGCTAGATTATTGCTAATCAACATATAAAATTATTTTAAAAATATCTACAAAAAAAAAGTTCCATATTTAACAAAACTTATTTACAACATAAAAATATAAATTATTAAAAAATTAGTAAGTACTATACCAAACGTTGCAAATCATAATGCATTCTTCGCTTCATTAATGACATAGCATCGAATACAGATTTTTCAGCTTCTATCATCTCAATTTGTTCCTTGCTGAGTGGAATACATTTCCTATAAAAAATTTTTTTAATATACTCCCAAAACAAATAATGTATGCAAGGCCGGCAAACTTGTTCTGCTGGGCGGAAAAACACAATCAACAATATTAAAAAAAAAAACATGAAAAAACACCTAATAGTTTCTGGCTTTACTTTAAACAAGCAAGCCAAAGCTTTTACATTCCATGTTTTGGGGCATGAGTTTCTTAATTCATCAGCTTCTGAAATCTAAGAAGCAAACAAGTAAATTAACAAGTATTTGAAAAAAAAAATTAAAATAATCTAATTTTTTATATAAAAACCTGTTCTTTAGTGATCTCATATGAAAATGTGTCAAATAAATCTGATCTGGATTTAAACAGGTGCTCACCAATTGACTAATATTAAAACAAATAAAAATAAAGTTACTTTCACATTTAATAAAAACCTAAGTTTAAGGCAGAAAATGTAAAAAAAAATTATAGTTCAATACAACATCAATTTATCAAAAAAAATTTAACTAATTCAAAAGTAACTTAAAAACTAAAATTTTTAAGTTACATATGAATAAATGTGTTAAAAAAGTTAGCTTGAGGAATTATTGCAGCCCACAAGCTTTCAAAATGTATAGACTTTTTCATTACCTGGCAGAACCACAACTTTAGAGTTTCTTAAAAAAAAAATATTTCAGAATTAAAAATGATGTGTAGTTTTGTTTTTGATGAAATTTCTTTAAAGATTAAAGATAATGATTGTGACATAAACAATGACAAGACTATTGAAACTCAATCTAATGGGAAACCAGTGAACTAAGTTCTTGTATTAATGGTCTCCATCTCATCAACAAAATGGACCCAAATTAAACAAAATTAGCTTGTTTGTGATCAAAGGTTTATAAATAAAAGGGCTCTCAATTTTCTAGAACCTTATTACATTTAAATCATTATTAAATCAACAAATTACACATCCAACTAAGTTGGGAGTTACTAGGAAAAAAAAGAACAGAGTTATAGACCAAGAAAACGGTTGACAGAAGACTTGAAAAGTTGAAGGTTGTATGAGTCTGGAAAACATGAAGATGGGAGATAGTTCCAAAGGATTGAAGTGCAGGGAAAAAAACTAGATGAATAAAAGTTTTTAGAGCATGAAGGGACAGATACAGTAAACGAATGAGACTTAGCTGAATGACGAGTAAAACGAGAATGAATTTTAGTTGATGGAACTAGAGATGATAACTCCTTTGAGCAGTGACCATGATAGTATTTGTAGAAAAGAGAAAGAGATGCAACTTTACGACGATGGGAAAAAGGCTCAAGCTTAGCAGATAGTCCAGGTCCAACAACATTTACAATGCGTTTTTAGACCTTGTCAAGAAAAGAAAGTGAATCGTTAGAAGAACCAGCCCAAATATGACAACAGTATTCCATACAGGGACGAATAAGAGATTTGTAGAGGTAGAGAATGGAATCAGAAGTAAGGAAATGGCGAGCACCATAAAGAGAAGCAACCTTAGCAGGAGCTAGTTTAGCAATCGATTGTATATATGGTTTCCATGAAAGGTCAGTAGTAAGCGATAATCCAAGAAGACGTAAAGAGGACGACTCAGTAAGAGGATTGCCATTCATTAATATAGGAATGTTGACCATATTACGGTAGTTGTTTGCAATAAACATCTGGGTTTTGTTAGAGTTGAAATTCACAAGCCACTGTGAACCCCAATCTATTACTGAAGTGAGATCGGATTCAAGATCAGCTGCTTGTTCTAGGCGATTGAAAAGAGAAGACTTTTTGTCAAGACAGGAGTATAAAGTTGAGCAAAAAGAGCTACTTTAGATGAAAGGTTGTCAGGAAGATCGTTAATGTAAATAAGAAACAAAACAGGGCCCAGGATGGAACCTTGGGGAACCCCAGAAGTTACTGGAAATAAAGAAGAGTGTTGGCCTTCAAGGATGACTTTAATAAACCGGTTAGAAAGAAATGATTTGGTAATCTCAAAAACTTTCCCAGAAACACCATATGAAGCAAGCTTATGGAGAAGACCAGCATGCCAAACTTTGTTGAAAGCTTTAGATATGTCAAGAGCAATAGCCCTAGCCTCACCACCTCCATCTAATGCATGATAAAATCTTTCAGTTACAGCAGTTAGCAAGTCGGCTGTAGAGCGAGAGGATCGAAAACCGTAATGATTGTCTGACAGTAGTTTATTTGACTCAAGATGAGATGTGAGGAATTTGTTGATCAAAGACTTAATTAGAACTGACTTTATATTAATGAAAAAACATTTAGCATTAATGCAAACAAAAGATGTTGAAATGACAGACCAACAAATTTGAAATGATAAACCAACAATTTTGAAATGACAGACCAACAATTTTGAAACGACAGACCAACAATGTTGAAATGACAGACTAACAATGTTAAAATGACAGACTAACAACTTTAAAATGACAGACTAACAACTTTGAAATGACGGACCAACAATTTTGAAATGACAGACCAACAATGCAATGTATTCAAGAAATAATCTCTACAAATAAACAATTTTTAATTTCATTATTTATAAAAAAAAATTACAACCATTAAAAAAATGTTGGTAATTACAACCATTAAAAAAATGTTGGTAAGAACCTTTTTTTTAAATCTCAGACACCTAGAGGGGAATGGCCCCATTTTGTAAAAATTTTTCTCAACTGTAAAAAAAAAAAAACTCTACATAAAAAGCTCTAAAAAGAAAAAAAATGACTTAAAAACACAAAACCTTGATAGATACCTTTTTCGCTAAACTTTCCTCATGGAGGTGGGGGGGGGGATGGTCTATTGACAACGAATGATAAAGAAAGTTCTAATTTATTTTATAAAGAAATTTTTAATTTTTTTTTAAAGAAAGTTCTAATTCATCTAAATGTGTTCAAAACTTATTCAAGTGTGAAAGTGAAAGCATTTAATACTTATTGCTTACAGAACTTCACAAAATGAAAACTGATTTTAAACGAAAATGAAACTTTTTTTAACTAAAAGAAATATTATACAAAAAAACTACCAAAATCTTTTTCCGTATCAGAGGTTGCTATTTTGTCGCATAGGTTATAAATTTAGCAATGGCTATTTTTTCCAAAGTGCATGATGTTACATTTCCCAGCATTAAATTTAATTGCCAGAGCTCAGACTATTTAGATGCTTGATAATTTCATTTTGAAGTAATTTATCAGAATTAACTACTTTCTCAAATAACTTGGTGGGATTTTTAAATTTAAATAAAATATTTTTTTCTCTCCCTTCACAAAATAACCGATTCATGTCTTTACATTGATTTTAACCTGAAGATTTTGATCAAAAATATAAAAAAAAGTTTTTAAAAAATCTTTAAAAAGTAAATTTTTAAAGTAAACATTTTTTAGTTTTTATTGAATTAGAAAAATTTGAAAACTAGGGGTAGTTATAGGTGCTTAAAAGTGCGTGACAACTGTGGGTTTAGACTTTTTGGGTTTTTATTTTAAAATAATAACAAATAAAAAAAACAGTTAATTCTAAACATCATACACAAAAATGAATAAGATATGTATACATAAAAAGATGGATAAAAAATAGATGATAAAAGATTTTCAGATAAAAAAATTTCCAGAGGTAAGTAAAGATAAAAACTAAATAGTTGACAATTTCCTCTGTAACGAGAGGATAGTTAATACTATCACATATTGAAAAATATTGTATTTGTGTATAATTTTAGTAAATATAATTATTCTGTGTTTTTCTTGTATACTGTGAATAATGAAAGATAAAATGAATTGTAAATGTTCATGTAATATAAATTTAAAATAATACAGAAACTTATTTTTAAAAATGGCTTGTAAATATTGATCAATTTTATTATTACCCACGTGACTTTATCATTTAACAACTTAGGCATGTGAATCTCAAACTATTTATAACTAAAATTTATGTTCACGTCTATCAATCACCAATCATGACAAGATTTTTAACAGTTTTAAATTTTAGGACTTTGAAATCTGCTTTTTAACAAACATTTTTTAAGTCTCTCTCAATTATTTCATAAGTAACTCCCAACCAATGAAATTAAAAGTAATTAACAACTTGTTTACTTTTAACTTCTTTTTTTTAAAATTCTTTAAAATAAAGTGGAAGCTATGGATAAGACAAGGTAGGCCATAACTATGGAGAAGACAAGGTGGAAACCATAACTATTGAAAAGACAAGGTAGGCCACTACTTTTACTATTAGAAAGATTACAAAAAAAATTTACTTGAATCAAATGGTTACAATATTTTATATATAAAGAAACTCTTTGGAAATATTATTCAGAACATATAAATATTGATAAGAATATAATATAAAACATATTAACAAAAAAAATCTAAAGAAAATGATTTACTTTTGTATACTCTTGTGGATAAATATGAGGTGGAGGGTGATAACATATGATTGTGTGACGATCTTTTGAAAGAAAAACTTCAGGTCTGAATTGAAAATAAAAACAAAACAAAAACTAAAATAAAAAAAGCTAAATAATAAAATTCCAGGGGGGAGAGAGACCTCAAATAGAGAATATATATATATATATATATATATATATATATATATATATATATATATATATATATATATATATATATATATATATATATATAAGGGTCATCAAGTATCATTGCATTTTTTTTAATATTATTTTGAATAGCAAAATGTTGTAACATCTAAACATCATTAAAATAAATAAAAAAGTTAAAACTAAAGTTAAAACTTTCTTTGCCACCTACTAATTTAAAAGAAGCAATTTTTGATAATATTTTACAATATATGCAATGTAAAGTCTTCTTAAGGTAAAAGATTTCTTTCGCCTCACCTAACTCTATTGTTTTGCACATGTTATAACAATATTGTTGATTTTTGCTACTATTATTTATCACAACCTTATCTAGAACGTTCAAAAAGTTATTCTGTTTGACATCAAATTTGACAATTTGCAACTTGTTACAATTTGCAAGTGTTTTCTTATGTTGCCATGTCCAGAAGTGCCGTCTAAATGCAATACTAAATGTCTCAATGGTAGTTCATTAAAATGGAACAAATGCGCTAACCATTGAGTTGGATATCCCAAATGCAGTTTCAATATTTTTATCAAATCATTGCTCACACCAGTATTTATGTTACCTCCACCACTGCCAATAGCTAACACATTATCAAGTGATGTTTTTTTATCAACAAAAAAAAAAAAATAACATTCCTCATATTTTTCAATTTGATGGAGAAACGTGAATAAGCACTTGATGGAGAAACATGAATAAGAAAAATGGAATGAGGTTCTTTTATTAATGTGATACTAAGTGACTAGCAGTTAAGATATAATTACTGTTACTCAGTAATTATATCTTTAGAACTGATACTAACTGATGCTTCCAGACTATATAAACTAGACGAAAAGAAATCATAGTATTTCTGTCTCTTATTACTTCTCTCTCATTAGTTAATATAAAAGTACTTTTCTATTCTAAAGAACCAATAGCCATATTTCTTTCATTATTTTGATCCATCAAAAGTTCCTGCTTAAGTACTGACACCATTGATTTTCTAGGCATGCGCAACTACTAAAATTAGAACAATGAAGCACTACAATGTCAAACAAAATAGAACTTTCCACCTTAGCAATTCATACTGCTGAAGTCTTAAAAAACTCACATAACCTTTCAGGAATCATTCCCAAATTATTGTGTAAAGATTTTACTTTATCTTTATCATTGGATTGTAACAATTGGAATACCAGATTTTAACCAAATGTCAGTAACATTTTCAGAAACTCTAGAAACTATTGTGTTTGCTTGGTAGACCTGGGTAATTTAAAAACAGAATAGCGCTGCATGACTTTTTTGAAAGTTAGAAAGAAGAAGTTCAAATTTGATGTCAAAACAGGACAAGTCAGCTGCGCTCTTATAACAGTCATAGTTTGCAACAGAAATCAAAACATTTTTAGTTTTCTAAATATAAACTTAGTTTTATTTGCAAAACAGATTTTTATAAATAGATTTAAATTCAATTAACCATATACAGGCGGTAGGTGGTATACATGTGGTAGGTGGTATACAGGTGGTAGGTGGATTATTTCAATTGGTAATCTTTATAATTATCTTTCGGCTGATAATTTTAGTATATTAATAGTAAATAAACATTATGTACTAACAAATTGTAAATTTTTCTACAATTTATGTTAAAATAAATAATAACTTAAAAAGGTGCTGCTTAGAATTACTACAATTTATATACTAATATACAGTAAATGACTAAAAGTAATTTAATAATGACTTTTTTTTTTAAACATCTTCACTTCCGAAAAGGCTGCAAGCAACAATTATTAGAGTTGGAAGTTACTGGAAAAGAAAAGATAAAGTTTATAAATCAAGGTAACAATTAACAGACAACTTAAAAGATAAATAATTATATGAATCAGGAAAACAAGATGAAGGGAGCAAATTCCAAATAACAGATGTTTGAGGAAAAAAACTAGAAGAATAAGAATTTTTGGTGCACTTAGGGACAATCACAGTAAAAAGATTTGACTTGATTGAATGATGAGTAACACAAGAATGCTTTTTAGTAGATGACACAAGAGATGCTAGCTCTTTAGAGCAATGCCAATTATAGTATTTATAGAAAAGAAAAAGAGAAGCAACATTATGATGATGTGATGTTTGGAGGTTGGCTGTAAGGGCAGGTCCAACTATGTTTACAATACATTTTTACACCTTGTCAAAAAGAGAAAGGACATCATTGGAAGATTTGCCCCAGATATGGCAACAGTATTTCATACAAGGACGGATTTGAGATTTATTGAGATAAAGAATAGAATGATGAGTAAGAAAGTAACAAGCACAATAAAGAGATACAACCTTAGATGATGCTATTTTTGCAATCAATTTGATATATGGTTTTCCAGAAAGATAAGAAGTAATACACCATTAGATGTGAGAATTTCAGGGAGATCATTTATGTAAATTAGAAAAAGTATAAGGCCAAGGATATAAGCTTGACGAACTCCTAAAGTTATAAAAAATGAAGAAGAGTACTATCCATCGAGGACAACTTTTATACTACGATTGGTAAGGAAGGATTCAATAATCACAAAGATGTTATCAGATACAGCATAAGAAGAGAGTTTATGGAAAAGACCAGCATGCCAAACTTTATCAAAGACTTTACTGTTAACAAATCAGCAGTAGAACGAGAAGATTGAAATCCATAAGTTATCAGATTCAAGATGAGAGATTGTTTGTTAATTTTGCTTGTAATAGGAAGCAAACCTTGCTTGTAATAGGAAGAAGACTAATGGTAGTTAGACGAGTCAGATCGCTCTTCAGATTTGTTAAAAATAGAAATAACAAACTGCTGGAAAACATGACTCTGATAAGCACTTGTTAAATAGTTTTCAAAGTATAAACAACAGCTCCGGAGAACACTTCTGCAAGACTGTAACAGGAAAGACTGTCCAGATCATGTTGTTGCCCAGATCACAAGCTGTAGAAGATCTAGGAAATCACTTTAAGAACAGAAACTTGAGTGATACAAATGTCATGCAATGGATCAACATGTTTGTCAATTATATCAGGAGAAATGTGATTAGTGGAATCAAAAGATAAGATTGATAAAAAGTTCTTAGCATACATTTCAGCTTTATATTTAGGTGAGGTAACAAAATCTGAATCACGCAAGAGAGGTAGAATAACAGACTTGCTTTTATTATAGACACTGTTAAAGATTCTCCAGAAGTTTCTGAAGCCTAATTTTTGAGATGAAATGTGAGATTTTGTGACCTGAGAAAAATGGGGTTTAGTGTTAGACAAAACCTTTTTACAGTGGTTTCTAGAATAGTAAACAGACGTCTGTTTTCTAAAAAATTGTTTTGGTGATAGATATGGAAGCAATGGTTACATTTGGAAATTGCAGCAGCACAATGAGTGGAAAACCTTGGAGAAGAGTGAGGCTTAACTTTGAAGAAGTAGATTTGTCAGCAAGAAGACAAATGATTTCTACCCAAGAGTCCCAGTCAGCTTTAAGGTAGCTGTAAGAGGTATGATGATAGGGGGATACTAATGATGAAAAATTTAATACTGATAAAAAGTCTTAAAATGCCTTAAATAAAAAAAAAAATGATAATTTTAAAAAATGTTAGTTTGAATCACTACAAAAAAATGTACAAAAAAAAACTTAATTTAAGTTTACAACTTATTTATAAGTTTACAATTAATTAAGTTAAAAAGTTTAAATTTTATAATTTAAAATTTTTAATTACTTTATTTAAATTACATTTTAATTACTTGTTCAGTGAATAGATATTTAAAAATCAAATTAACAAACAGATATCCATAAAAAGCCTAAAAATACACAATATAAGTCCCCCAGCAGAAAAAGTAAGCCATAAAAATACTGATTACTATTTTATTTTCCTTATATCATCCCAACAATTTATCACAACTCAAAATAAAATTTAATAATTTTACAACAAAAATAACAAAGTAATTTAATAACAATAAAAAAGTCTATAAACGCAAAATATGGTAAAATAAGGTCCTTTAGCAACAAATGAAGATGCAGCTCTCTAGCTCTATGCATAAATATTAGTATAATATTGAAATAAAGATGTTAAAGAAGCTCTTTAAAAACTGAAACATTTTTATGCAATTATTTAAATAGATTTTTTGTTATACTAGATTGGAACATTCACAGATTGTGACTCTGCACAGTACCTAAATTATGATAAATATTTAACATCATAATGTTTTAACTCTTCCATTATGTCATATTTAAATAGGAAAATGGCATCATAGAAACTGTTTAAACTACTCAAATATAAAACTATGGACATTAAACTTTAAAATAAACACATAAATATAGGTATATGCATATATAAAATTAATTTAGTTGACTTACTTTACAAGCAGTTTATGCATTATACTCTCATCTAAATTATCATTAAGACGACCAGTTGTAAGAAACTCAACTTGAGGTTCTTGTCTTGCTAAAATCTCTTCTTTTTGTAACATGAATTCTGACTTACTTTCCAATTTCATCTTTTGCTCTAAATATTTCCGTCTTTCTGCTGCACGAACCCATGACTTTTTTCCAATTGTATGAGGGGTTTTCTTATTCAGAGGTGAACTTGTGCTCATAAGTCGTATTGCTAAATGTTAATATTATAAATAAAATCAGCTAAAATAATCAAAACTGTAAAGAAAAAAGACACTGATTTTGAAAAGATTTTTAAAATTAAGTTTGGACTAATGAATAAAATTGTTTGTTTTCAATATATATTTAAATAGTTTTTGTATTTAACAGTTTTATACATGAAATGATTATTGTATAATCAAAACATGTTGAAACTAAGAAAAATTGTTAAATATATCATATAATATCCAGGTCATATTTTAAAAATCCAGAAAATTTTTTGAATAAAATATCCGGAATATGTTGTCCCTTAATTTCCTTTATTTATATATATATATATATATATATATATATATATATATATATATATATATATATATATATATATATATATATATATATATATATATATATATACATATATATATATATATATATATATATATATATATATATATATATATATATATATATATATATATATATATATATATATATATATATATATAAACTACTAAAGATAAAAATTTATAAAAAATTAAGGAAAACCTTGAATAAAAGAAGTAAGTTTGTTGAAATCAAACTTGTTGCGCAATTCCATCATTATTATTTTATAACTAGACAACCATGCCAACCAAACTCATTTATATTCTAATAAGAAAATGTTCTACATATATATAAATATTTCTATATTAAAAAAGTGAGAAATATTTGATAGAAAAATCAAACAAATGTTTTAAAAGTTGGAAAAGTTCTATTTTGAATAAATCTTTAAGTGAAAGCAGTTGTAAATATTACAACTAATCTAATACAATACAACTAAAATTTTTTCACATAAGATACTTCTAGCTCTTTGATCATTAGGGAACATCAGAACCGTATAAAAAATTAATATTTGATTTTCAATCTGGGTTTCAATTTTTTGTTAAATATTGAAAGATATAGCGTATATAATATGTTTGCAATGAGAAACATCTTGTGAGAGATTTTAACTGTCAAAAAAAAATTCCTGCATTTAAGTGATTTAAATTAAATTAACTGCAGGATTATTGTAAAACGCACCTGTAAGATAAATTTATTGAATTGCTATTATTTATGGTCTTTATAGCATATAAAGACCATAAATAATAGCTTTATATGTAATTATTATAAATATTGTGTATTTATGATTTTTGTTCTATATATAAATATAAATTAGTATAAAATCACTTAACAAAATTTTTTTTTCATTTTACACTGTGTTTTATCAACAAACATGTTAAATATATATATATATATATATATATATATATATATATATATATATATATATATATATATTATATATATATATATATATATATATATATATATATATATATATATATTTGTAATCTTGATATTATGGAGCACTGTAAAATTTACAAGAGTCTTCATATTATTACATAAAAATACTTAATCTCAAATTTATTTTATATACCTATATCTATATAAATATATATGTGTCTCTGTGTGTATATAGATGTAGTGTACATAGTGTATATAGATCAGCAATTGCTGACTAGATTTGCTTACCTTTATAGCACAAGACTGATTTTTTTTTTTTTTTTTTTAAACAAAGAATAATGAAAGAAAAAATTGTTGCCCCATCCCAAGCCCTCAGTCAATATAGTATAAATATTAAAAAAATATTTTTGAAGGGACAATCCAAATAGTACAAACTAACTCAAAGCAGAGACTTTTAAGAAAACAAAGAAAATTATAATCTTATGGTAAAAGTTTAGGAAAAAAAAATTATATAAATTTAATTTATATATATATATATATATATATATATATATATATATATATATATATATATATATATATATATATATATATATATATATATATATATATATATATATATATATATATACATATATATATAGGCATTAAATACTGTAATGATACAATAGTGATAAAATAGACCTTGAATTCAAAGATTGTAAAATAAAGATTTTGAATTCAAGTTTTTAGTTTTTATTGAATGGGTGAGATAGTTCCACTCATTGGTGCATTGATGCTTCATAGAGTTTTTGCCATACTTGATTGTGCAACTGTGTTCAACAAATATACTTTTGCATCACGAGAATCTAAGGTGATAAGAGTGTTTTTTACTAGTTTGGAAGGAGGAAGTAAAAGCATATGGGAGTCCACAATGCAAGTAATCCCATACTAAGGTACAATTCATAAGTTTGATGTTCTCATGTTGTTTTATAACCTGTAATAATTTATATAACAAAAAAACATTGTCAAAATGGTCATTCTGAAAGTAGGTAATTTTAATGGCTTTATTTTGTAGTGAAATTTTTTACAGGATTGATTTTTAGTTTGTCCACAAATCTGACATGCATATCGTATGTGAGAGTTTTGTATAGCATGATATTGTTACAGTTTCTAATTGACTAAGTGCTTTACTTTGGCCAATATACTAATAGATGAACTTAATTTTGACTGTAAATAAGAGTGATTTCTATGTTAAAAGAAAAATTTCCATTCTGCATAATTCCAAAATACCTTACTGATTTTAAAGAAGTTAATATCTACCCCTTAATATAAAAATTTAAATGCATATTAATTTTTTGATTTTGAAAACTACAATTTTTTTAGCATTGAGTGAGATTTCATTAGCTCCCAGTTAGTAAAGAACTGATTGTATCATCAGCAAAATGGTAAGTAGATATATTATTAAAGCATGTGTTCAGTTCATTGATGTATACCAAGAATAGACACAAGGAATTGAAAGAAATTGGAGTCTATAATTTAAATAAGATTCAAACCAGTTCAGAGGAACTCCACAAACTCCATAATATGCTAATTTGGTGAGAAGAATATAATGGTTTACTGTGTCGAAAGCTTTCTGCAAATCAATAAACACACCACAAGCAAATTTGTTTTCATCTAATGTTTTCAAATAACCTCTGTAAAATCAATAAGACCATAGGTAGTTGAATGTCTAAATCCATATTGTAATTTATTAAAAAAATTGATAGTATCAAAAAAACTTGTATAGTCTTTTGTGTTCATCATTTTCTTAAATAATTTTTTGATGTTGGACAATGAAATAGGTCTGTAGTTAACAAGTTCAATCTTAGAGCCATCCGTGTGAATTTGGATAACCTTTGCAATTTTGAAAAAGTCTGGGAAGACTTCTATTTGCATTGCGTTGAAGTATGGGGAAAAAAACTAGATAAATAAAATTTTTAGAGCATGAAGGGATAGATACAGCAAAACCGATGCAACTTTGCTGAACGAGTCAAATGAGAATGAGTTTTGGTTGATGGAACAAGAGATGAACACTCATTTGAGTAGCAACAATGATGTTGTTTGCAGAAAAGAAAAAGAGATGCAACCTTACAATGATGGGAGAGTGGCTCGAGCTTAGCAGTTAGAGTAGCTTTAACTTTGTTTACAATGAGGATTTGGACCTTGTCTAGAAGAGAAAGAGCATCATTAGAATAACCAGCCCAAATATGACAGGAGTATTCTATACAGGGTTGAATAGGAGACTATTAGGTTGAGAATGGAATCAGTAGCAAATTATGGTAATTATAATAAAGAGAAGCAACCTTAGCGGATGCTAACTTTGCAAAGGGTTGTATATATGGTTTCAATTAGAGGATTTAGATTGTTTTGTGTATGTGTCTATGTTATAGTTGAAAGGGTCTGAATGTTCTCTACACATGAATATGGATTAAGTTGTTAATACTTTTATTAATTATCTATTATTAGTCATTATTTTTGCTTATTATCATTAATAATGATAATAATAGATTAATACATCATAATTCATGATGTATTAAATGATATGTTAAAATTTCAAATATTGATTTTATTAAAAACAATTTTTAAACCTCAAATTAGCATTTTTTGAGACTACCCATATTTTTGAGTTATTAACTAATTTACGAGGCTTAAGGGAACTCTAAAATTTGATAGTTATACCTATATCATTTTGACCACTAAAACAATATGAAACTTCAGACAACTCAATCAAAATTATACTTTTATGTAAATGTTTATTGTCATAGTATTGTTAAACTATTAGGATAAAATATCATATAGAAAATCATGATCACTTGATGTGCAGCGCACCACCACGTAGAATTCAACTCTAAATCGGAATAAATTTAGAAGAACTAAATTTATTCTGATAGATAGGAATTAAAATATATTCTATTTTTTGGAACTAAAATTATTCAAATAAAACCTCTATATTTATAAAATTGTTGTGCTTAACTTTATTTTAAATAAAATTATTTCTAAATGTGTTTTGTGAATATATTTTTTAATTAATTCATAAAATATATTGTAATGTATAAAATTAAGGGAAAAACAGTAATAAAATATAATTTTACAATACTAATGTGTAAAAACAAATTTTATATTATTAAGAAACATCTATATACTTTATACATCTACCCTTAAACTAAAATATGTATAAATAATAAGGTATACAATTAATAACTATCAATTAATAATATATACACAAATAAGTATCAATTTCTAATTACATTATGCTACATCTATAATTTAAAATTTTCTAATCAAGTAAAATATTATTTTTACAAAATATAAAATTTGTAATTGGTAAAAAAAAGAGAATTTATTTAATAAAAACAAAAACTGAACAATAATGAAACCAGTTTTATAAATTACTTTGTCATATAAATGATCATTTTTTTAATCTTATATTTTAAAAAGCTTTTCAACATTTCTGAGGCAATTATCCAATATGATATGTATATCTTTGTTTTTAATAAGTGCAATTTCCTCTGCCACGAATAAAACATTACCTGGGTGACTGAATCTACATTTATTTTTAAGCTTTTTGGGAACAAAATAGGGAGCATCAGTTTCTAATAATATTCTGTCCAATGGAACACATTTAACAACTTCATGTGTAACTTTTGCTGTAGAATAAGAAATTAGATTTGTAAAACCAAAAAACATGTTTGGAAACTCATTTACAAAACGATGCAGGTGTGAACAGTTCCCTGTAAAGCAATGTATATGAATTGGCCATTCTCTCATATCCTCATCACATAAAATTTGGTACACATGGTCTTCAGCATCCCGTGAATGTACAACAATAGGTTTATTAGTCTGCTTTGCTATTTGAAGTTGTTTTATAAAAACTGATTTCTGATCAGAGTAAGTTGATAATGGATTGGATCGTGACAAATCTAAACCACACTCACCAACAGCAACAGCTTTTGGATGCTTTAAACATTGAAGCATAGTTTCATAAATATGATCTGTAAAATACTTTGCTTGATGCGGATGTAAACCAAACGATCCCCAAATACCATCTTGACAGAGTAGATCTAACCAAGCACTACAGTTGTTATAAACAGAAACATCACTAAATGACCCTATACAACCTTTAAAATTTGATGGGAAGAAATGAGATTCCTTAAAGTCCTTAAAACATAAATTATGATGTTTTAATCTCTTAAACACATAATCAATATGACAGTGAGTATCATAGATAGGGATATCATAGTTACTCTTATTCTTTTTGGATTCGTTATCAGAGTTGGCAAATTTTGAAGTAACTTTAAAGAATGGGCAATCTTGTATTTCATGATTTTGTGATTGACACTGAGAACATGCAGAATGCATACTTGCCATGTGAAGTTATTTAAAATTTTTCAATCGTTTTTGAATATTCATAGTTGATAATCATTTAAATCTAAAAATGTTTAATAAATAAAATAAACTATTTCAAGCATTTTTGCGATTCGGGATTTATCGTCGTGAACATGCTCGCGCACGACACGTATCGTCGCGTATAACAAAAATTTAAGTTGATGATGTCCGGATAGATCTATCTAGATGCTTAGATGCTTCTATAGAAGCATTCGTTACGAAATATATAGCATATAATTGCACACCAACTACGTTAATTAAAAAAAAAAATATTTTTACAATTAAAGATGTAAAAATGTTTTGTTTTTTATATATATTTTATATAGATAATGTTTTTGTTTTTTTATATATATATATATAACATATTTGGCCTGCAAAACAGTTGCACAACAACTACGTTTTAAATTGATAACTGAATAATAACTTGTAGAAATAGTGCTTCTGCTAAATAATTTTTTTTTTTCAAAACTCAAAACTATCTTCTAAATTTATTACAAAGTACTGTTTAATTGACCCATAAATTAGTGCTGTTATCGACTTCGACAAAATCGACTAAAAGTCAACTAGTCAAAAGTCAAATTAGCCGACTAAGAAAAAACGAGTACCCGAGTTAATCGACTATAGACTTCCTACTAATCGACTAAAAGTCAATTTAGTCGAGTGAAAATCTTAAAAATTTTTTATCTTTTTATTTGATTTAAATTTCCAATATTTTATTTTTGTTTGTTCGTTTAAAAACAAAAGTATTTACTAAAACAATTTAATAAATAAACAATTTAATAAAAAAGCCACTATCCGTGAGATCTCTTGTTATAATTAATAACTTGAGATGTCACAGAGAGTGGTTTTGCCAAACACCGAATATTCTGCTAGACGCTCGGCTGAAGCACCAAATATTCGAAGCTGCCAAAAACTTAACGACACTTTCTTATATTGCGGGTTCCGACCTGGTTCATTGAAGTGTATACCGTGGGTATACTGACAAAAGACGTAAAGTCAAAAATTGGCAGTTTTGACTTAATGATGCGGTATTGTAAATTTAACAACACTCTTCAAACTGGCAAAATACACTAAGTTAAATGAAAAATCTTTAAAGACGTTTAAATGTATTTTTATAATCAGAGAAAAGCATTTCTCTGGTTATAAAATTACATTAAACGTTAACTTATACACGGGTTTTTTATTAAGGCTAAAAGTTTTTAAATAAAAATAAAAATAAAAGCTATAAATATTATTTTAAATAAACACCTAACCTTATGGCGTATTTTATTGTCAACACCAAATACAATTTAATAAGATTATGAAAGTTTCAAAAAGGAAGAAAACTTAAATGATTGATTTCTCTTAAGAAGGATTTTTGAGTTAACGTTTTTTGTCAAAGTACCCACAACATGTTGAGGGTATTCCGGCAAAAAACTCTACGCTGTTGGCGTTTTTGTTAATTTATCTGTAACAGCGCACATTATTTGTGGACTGTTACATCAATTTAATTTAACTATATTTAAGTATTTACATATCATACTTTTCAAACCACTCAAAAAGATTACAAAAATAACCAGCTTAGGTATTTGCATTTCAGAGGTAATTTCAGAAATTGATATAGATAGATCTTCACTATAACCTAAACTTAAAACATCGTTTAACGTTAATGGGAATGTGAATTATACAGTTGCAATAAAACGATGCAATAAATCCTTCTCAGTGAAAAGCTGCTTGACACCGATGAACCATCACCAGTGACAAGTAGCACCGCACAGTGGAGTATTTGACTGAAAAAGTCGATCAAAAGTATTTCTTTGAAGTTTTGTACCACAAAAACAAAAAAATCTTTAAAGTTTCCGCGAAAAAGTTTTCTTTAAATAGAGTGAAATATTTTTAAAATATATATTTAACAAGTATATTTGTAATTAAAAAAAGCATATTTTTAAATATAAAAAAATATATAGTTCATAAAAGTGAAATACTAAAAAAAAAAAAAATTAATTAAAATAAAATCCTTTAAAACAGTTTCAATAAAGTTACCACAAAAAAAATAATTGTTTTATATATATATATAATAAGTTTTTAAAATTTTATTTTGATTGAATCATTTCATAGTCGAAAGCATGCTCATAATGCGGTTAATTATGCAATTAGGGTTACTGATAATCAATGAAATGTACAAAAAAAGCTTTTTTTATTTCATTTATTTATTTTCAATTCTACAAAAGTATTTTAAATAAATTTAAATGCTAAAATTTAATTTGATGACGCAATCCATTCATCTGATTCGTCGACATTGTAATCGTCATTTTCCTTAGCAGTAGTTTCTCCATTAGGCAATAACATTTCCATAGTTTCAGGTTTAAAGTGTTGTTTTTTTTAGAGGCTTTGGGCCTTATACTACTCAGATATGGATCTGATGTTAGCAAAAGTCTGTTACTGACATCTATATTACAGACAACTCTGCTAAATTTTCTGCTGTAATGTTCCCTATATTGTCGGAAATGTTTATTTCTGACCTCTGCTGCTTTTTCTGACAAAGCTCTATAGGTAAGATAGCATGCTCTATGACTGTACACCGGTGCCTAAGTATTTTATGTACAGTGGTTGACATAGGATACCACGAATACAGCTCAATGTAAATATTTGCAGTATCTAAACAATAAATACGAAATTTATTTATGTCGATTTTGTGCTCACTTCATATGACTTCCAATATTATAGCAAACTTATCTATCACATTTTTATATATTCCGGTTATATTTACAGATATTTCTGGATTACTGAAAAATCTTCTACTGGTGTTCCCATCATTGCTGTTCCCATAATATGGTTTGGGTACATCGACAATCAATCCAAGTTCATTTTTAAATTGTTCTTGAATTTTTGCTTTTTGTTCTTTAACAATATTTTTTTCAGTTGGTGTTCTCGCTTGCCATTTTTCTAGAGTTATCTTGTACGAAATGTGCAATAATTATTATTATAGTTGTAGCCGTAAAATATACATACCATATATACATACAGCGAGCAGGGAAAACACCGTACTATAAACAACCAGTTTTATAAATATAATTATATAAGGTTAAAACAAGGTTTCGAAAAATCGGATTCTGGCATGTAAAATTGATAATCCAAACTCTATGTTTTTGAAATCTATTGGGAATTTCGATATTTTTGAAAGATTGTTAAAATCGATAGAAGTGGCTTTGCATAAATAGCAACGCGTGGTCGATGACGTATTTGTTGCTGTATTGCACACTTTGCCATCTACCATGGTTAACAACAAATTATGACAGGCTGTTATTTCATGAAACAGTAACAAGGATAGTTTTTTTTTAGAACTTTCTGCGATGTATTGTTTTCGGGTTAACGATGCTCCTTAAAACATGGCCAAAGCTTTTTCTGCCAATAATTGCGAAAATATAGCCTTAGGGATACCAATATTTATAATAGCTTTGCGGTATTTATTACCACGTGTTAGCGATGACATGATATCCTTAATCACATAGGCTCCATCAACATTTCTTTTCTCACGAAGTGCCATCTGACCAGCATAAGCCAGTGTTTCTGCATCATTATTACTTCTTAGTTGTGCTGTTTTACGACGTTTACTACAATCAGTCAACTCAGAAAAATCTTTAATTGGGCGACCAAGCGCGCGTGTATTTTCGGCAGGAATTAAGGCATTATTTGGTATATCAATCGTGCCTTGAAGCCAGTCATGATATTTTAAAATAAATAATGTTTTGGTTCTTTTTGCCATATGTCATTTCTTCTTCAATTTTGACTTAAGAACAGAAAAGGTTTTAGTAAAATCAGTTTTTTGCTCAATCGGAAATGCTATTTCATTTATAATGCGATGTTCCGATAAATCAATTTGTTTGCCAAAGTCAGCTTCTTCAATCTCACTGGCCATTTGAAAGATATACTCTCTCTTTACAACTTTTATTTCAGACGAACCTATAGCATAGATAACAAGGGTTAATTAATTAACATATAGGAGAGAATAACAATTGTTATATAAACATATTATATATATATATATATATATATATATATATATATATATATATATATATATATATATACATATATATATATATATATATATATATATATATATATATATATATATATATATATATATATATATATATATATATATATATATATATATATATATATATATATATATATATATATATATATACAGTGGCGACAATATGAATAGCACACTTTCATAACCAGTTGGTTTTTCTTTTTGGTACCAATATTTTTGTTTTTATTCCAACTTTTTTTTATATTTATATAGCATCAAAAACGGCATTACTCATTTTATATTTATAACTGTAAAAACTGCTTGTTTGAGGTCGTATTTACATTTTTGAGGACATTTTAAATAGCACACATTAGCATTTTATTATAAAAAAAACTAAATTTTTGTAATATATCAAAAGATCATTCTATTTAATATTCTAAGTATATTCTTGTATATTTTTAGCAAAAAATAATAAAATAATAATTTTCTGTCAATTATGGGACGTGGTAAACATGGAACAGATATCTTTCGAGGACAAGTACAGGCATATCGAGATCAAGGATTGAACAATTCTCAAATAGCTCGAAGATTTGGTTGTTCTCGTAAGAAAGTTATCAGTGCTATTAAATTATTTAACAATACTGGTTCATTAAGCAACAAAAAACACAAGTTTCGCGAACGAAAAACAACCCCCAGAGAAGACGCAGCTATTGCTCGTATTGCAAAGCTGAATCCTTTTGCTGGCGCACCAAAAATAAAAGAACAAATTACTCAAAATCTAAAACTCAATCTGTCTGTCAGCACAGTCAAAAGTCGGTTACGCGAAAATAAGCTGTTTGAAAGGGTTGCTCGAAAAAAACCATTGGTCTCAAAACGTAATCTCGTCAGCCGTTTGAAGTTTGCAAAACAGTACGTACACAAGGACTTGCGTTTTTGGAAAAATGTGCTTTGAACTGACGAGTCTAAGTTCAATCGCTTTGGATCCGATGGAAAGCAATTAGTTTGTCATCCCCAGAACCAAGAACTCAGCCCTCTGTATACTTTAAAGACCGTTAAACATGGTGGTGGCAAGGTGATTGTTTGGGGTAGTTTTTCATGGAGTGGAGAAGGCCCGTTGTATAGAATTCAAGGCACGATGGATCAACATATCTACAAAGAAATACTGGAAAATGTGATGTTGCCATATGCCCAAGAAAATCTCCCTCTAGTTCGGAAATTCCAACAAGACAATGACCCCAAGCACATCGCCAAAAGTATTAAAGTATGGCTTACCGCTAATAAGATTGACGTTTTAGGGTAGCCCGCACAGTCACCAGACCTAAATCCAATAGAAAATTTGTAGGTGGAAGTTGATAGAAACATAAACCGTTTAACTGCAACAAATTTAGACCATCTTTGGGTCGAAATAAAAGCTGCTTGGGACGCCAATACGCCTGAACGATGCCAAAACTTGATCTCCTCAATGGGCCGTCGTTGTCAAGTGGTTATTGACTCAAAAGGATACCCCACTAAATATTAATTTTTCTCAAAAAAAGTTTTTTTAACTATTTATACAAAGAACTTCCATGACTTTTGTAGCCAAAGGACAAAATTATAATTTTGTACAGGGTGTGCTGTTTAGGTTGCCCCCTTATTCTGTAGTTCTAAATCATTTATATGGTTGGACTTTTTTTTTACATTAGCTACTTTCATTTCTTAATCAGTAATGTTATCTTTTATAACTAACATATTATTAGGCTAAAAAAGTTTAGGCCTCAAAAACTTAGATCTCTGGAAAATAAAGCATTACATTTTGGATATCAATCTGTGCTATTTATTTTGTCGCCACTGTATATTCTTGATACACTTAAAAAAACAGCTGCCATAAAGTGCCATAAAGTGCCATAAATATACTTTTATGGAGTGTACACAAAGGGTGTAGTTATAAAACAATTATTTTTTGCGGTAACTTTATTGAAACTATTTTAAAGGATTTTATTTAATTAATTTTTTTTTTTTAATATTTCACTTTAATATTACTATATCACTATATACATTTTTATATTTAAAAATATGCTTTTTTTAATTACAAATATACTTGTTAAATATATATTTTAAAAATATTTCACTCTATTTAAAGAAAACTTTTTCGCGGAAACTTTAAAGTTTTTTTGTTTTTGTGGTAACTTCAAAAAAATACTTTCGATCGACTTTTTCAGTCAAATACTCCACTGTGCACCGGTGACGGTTCAGCTCTACTTCGTAAGAAAAAGAAATGTAAATGAAAAAGATCAAACTAATTTCTACTAAAAAATGCACATATATGAAGATGTGAGAAAGAATAACTTCAATTCCAAATGATATAAGCTTTTACATGAAACCGTTCACTTAAACCCTTACAAGTGTTGGTCAGTAAACGCAAAACATTATCTTAACAGAACTTGCTAAAAAAAGTTTATTATTTGCCGGTGGCAGTGTACATAGTTAATGGCTGTTTTAGGAAGTATGACATCTCTAATTATAACTATTACTTATTTTTTGTTTACTCTTATAAAGTTTTATCTTATTCATAGCATATTAGAATTATTTAGGCTTTTTCCGGAGCTCTGTAATAAGACCTTAAGAACTTCTGGAAGCACCTTAATAACTACATAAAAAAGGAAAACAATTATACCTAATTAAACAATTGGTTGTATGTTTCATTTATTTATTTTTCTTTTGTATACTCGATGCTTTTGGTTTTCATAAATACTTTCATACAGGGCCGCTTTAAGCTGGCTCAGAGCCCTGGGGCAAAATTAAGTTGTGAAGCTTCAAAATCAAAATGTTTTCTATACAATCACATTGTATAGAAAATCCCTAAACCGTTGGGGTCTGGGAATAATATGTCCAGTTGTCGAAGCGACCGTTCTCTTTTATTGTTTTGCTCCATTAACATTTAAATTATATGACTTTAAAAAATAGAAAGCGAAAACAAATTAATACAAAAGTCGACTTTTAATCGACTTAGTCGATTTTAGTCGACTTTAGAAATGTATTAGTCGATTTTAGTCGACTTTAGAAATGTATTAATCAATTTTAGTCGACTTTTAAAATGTATTAGTCAATTTTAGTCGACAGTAGAATTATTTAATAGTCACTAATATAACAACACTACTATAAATACTTATTTATTTTATTTCTACGCTTCTTTATTATTTACAAGTACTCAGAATGAATGTCATTGGAGTTGTTTCTTTCTGCAAATGGAAGCAAGAAAAAAAGTCAAGCTTTTTGTCTCTATGCTAGCTACTGCGTTTGTGATTATTCAAAATAAATTTATTCATTTGACAAACAAAAAAAAATTTTTTAAAACCAGGGCTGTATATGCTGTGCAATCACGTAGTCAAGGCTATACTGGATTTTCAAAACTTGTTTCATAGATATACATGGTGAAACCAATAAATGTTAACAAATAAAGCTTTGTTTATGTTTTAAAAATTTACTTTTTTGGATTATTATTTTTGTGTTTATTTAAAGCTATCAAAGTTGAGTCAATTTTTGTGCGGCTATACTTAACAAAATTGTTTAAAAAATAAAAAATGAAATAAAATTTATGTGAGCACTATAAAATCTGTAGCTGAGAACCCAATGATGGATGCTGCTTAAGAATTAAAAAATTTGAGTATTGTTTATTGTTTTAATTTCCGTATTGTTCCATTGTATTCCATTGTTCCGTATTAATTCCAGTATTGTTTCAATTCTGTTCCCGACTAATAAGACAATATTGTTGATAGATGTTGCAGTATTATGTGATAGAACTTGGAGAAATATTAATATAAAAGATATAAATTGTTATGAAACATTTTGCAAAAACAAAAACTATAAAATCTGCTAACACAGCTACAATTTTTCAACTTGCTTTAGAAAAACGTGGAAAATTACATATCCATTACCGTCCTAAAGATGCATATAATTAGTGTTGGTATAATCTTAATAAAGAAAACTATACCTACATTCCCTGATTTTCTGTATATATTGTATTGAATCTTAAGCTAGTTTTATGAGGAATTTAGTTATGATATTCTTTACAAAAATATTTTTATGACCAAGGTAACAATAAAAGCCAAAATAACAATAAATTATTTAACATGACAAAACCTCATTATTTATATATGTATGCTAACACAGCTTCATTTTGGCGCTTTTGACACAGTTGCCATTTTAACATTAGAAGACAAGCAAATGTTTTAGTTAAAAATTAACAATTATCTTTCACAAATGTACAATAATAAACAATATAAACAATTATCTTTCACAAATATACAATAATAAACAATATAAACAATTATTTTTCACAAATATACAATAATAAACAATATAAACAATTATCTTTCACAAATATACAATAATAAACAATATAAACAATTATCTTTCACAAATATACAATAATAAACAATATAAACAATTATCTTTCACAAATATACAATAATAAACAATATAAACAATTATCTTTCACAAATCTACAATAATAAACAATATAAACAATTATCTTTCACAAATATACAATAATAAACAATTATCTTTCACAAATATACAATAATAAACAATATAAACAAGGTAACTGAAAAAAGATCTCAAAGATCTTGTCCTCAAAACCTTAAATAAGTTTTTTAAAACGCAGTAATCACTTTTTTACACTGATGATATAAAATGAACTTTATAAAGAATATAATATAGTAATATAAACATGATGAACTGAATCGATATAAGCATGATGAACTGAATCGACATAAACATGATGAACTGAATCGATATAAACATAATGAACTAAATCGATATAAACATGATGAACTGAATCGATATAAACATGATGAACTGAATTGATATAAAAATGATGAACTGAATCGATATAAACATGATGAACTGAATTGATATAAACATGATGAACTGAGTCGATAAAAACATGATGAACTGAATCGATATAAACGTGATGAACTGAATCGATATAAACAGTAAAATAATCTAATTCTTAGTAATAAAAGAAAATTAATAATTTCAAAAGGTTACTATTAGCAATATAAAAGTACGTTGTCTGTGGAAAGAACAAGTTTTTTTTTTAAGTTTAGCTTTAAAAATAGAGACTAAAGAAGGCAAATTAAAATTTTGCAAAATGATTTTATTCTAAAGATACGGTATATGGTAATTAATAAAAAACTGATTAAACTTGGTTTGAAAAAAAATTTGGTCTAGCAAATCATTATTTCTTTAAAGTATGTTTATTTTCAGATTTTTAAGTAAAGATATTTTTAAAAACATTAGGAGCTAATTTTTTTTTTCACATGTATATAAACATAAAACATCGAATATATTAACTTCATACATATTTATCCCTTAAAATGTTGTAACGCAGTCTCTTTTTAATCTCAATTTGGCCAATAAAAATTGGAGACAGATCTATGGCTAGACAACGCTTTTTTTAAGCGAATGGAAAATAATCCATTTTGTTCTATCAATATTTGTAGTTAGTTTGTTACATTTGAACCAGGTAGAAATGTAACAAATTAAGTATATTTATAGTAGAAAAAATTAACAAATATCATTATTAAAAAGAAATAGGTTAGTGTCGTCAGCAAACATAATACTAAGTAAATTTTAGACTTTGTTCAAGACATTATTACAAATCAAGAAAAGAAGTGGCATCAAAAAAGATAAAATAAATTTTTCTCTTAGATGATCATAAATATTTTTATCTGACTTAACTTTAGTGTTGAGATTTTACTAATTTATCGGACTTTTGATTATAATTAGCCCGTTTTTTTCTAAGTCCTACTGTTTTCTATAAAACCTAACTGATGCGTCACATTGTCTAGAGGGGGTCAATGGAGCACCTTTAGAAAAAAATAAACAAAACTAAAATTTTGATCACAAAGAGACAACTTTAATAAGAAAGAACTTTGAGCCACTATTTCTTACTTATTAAATTTTTCTATTTCCTTACGTCATTAAAGTACATAAAATAAAAGGTTTTTAAGTAATAGACACGCCTGCTGTTAACGATAGTTTTGTTGATGATTTATCCAAGTTCCATATCATGTATATTCATTAATTTGTCGATTTCTCAACCTGCCCCACACAGTTGCTTAACTTTTCCCAATTGGGGCAGGTTGAGCAGCTTGGTAAATTTTGGAAATATCTTCTCAAACAACTCAAAAAATGTACGTTTTCTTAAACAATTTTGATCAGTTTAAACTTTTCAATCTTTTCAAGTGAAAAAAATCTTTTCAAGTGAAAAAGTTATATAAATCCGACGCACCGTTCACGAGATTTGTTAGCTTTAGTAAAAATTGTTCCTTACTTACTCTCCTACCCTACATAAAAATAAAGACTTAAAAAAGAAATAAACTATTGCAAAAACTAAATCACAGACAAAAAGACAAAAAATCTTACGACAAAAAGACTACAAAAGTTTTAACAACATTTCAAAATAAATAAATACTCTTGTCATATACATATTTTATAAACATATTATATATATAATTATATATATAAAACATATTCTATATACATAAAAAATTAAATTTTTTAAACATTAAAAAAAAATAAACATTTATATCATACCATGGACATAAATCAAATAATTTCCGCTTGTTTCAAGGTGTGCGACAAAGATCCATTTTATCGCCACATTTATACAACATATACACTGAAATTATATTAAGTCAAATTGTTTCCGATTGTAAAGTTGGAACAACAGTAATGGGTTTATACACTGGCATTATTGCTTATGCAGATGATATAATCTTGCAAAGTCCTACTCTTTCTGGGTTACAAGAGTTGATCAATAATGTTCAAACGCAATGTCAAAACCTCTATATTAAAATAAACACAGAAAAAACCGAATTCATCAACTCCGGTAAAAGTTAAGTTACAAAAAGCATAATACAAATTAACGGTTTTTCCCTGAAACTCAATATTAAACTAAAACACCTCGGATTTCTATGGAAAATCAAGGTCATGGACAAAATATAGCTGCAACCCAATCGGGAAATGTAAACGAAAGAGTTATTCAATTTTAATCAATCTCCAGAGCTCTTATAAAATCTGGAATTCGTTTTTGTCAAACATTAACTAAAGTGCATTTGTTTAAATCTCTGACTATACCAAATCTATCATACGGATTAGAAATTTGTGATTATAACAATACTTTTCTTAATAAATTAGACGCTGTTGGAAGATTAGTATTAAAATTTCTCTTTAGTATTTCAAAATACAGCAAAAACTATCTGCATTCCTACTTTAAAGTCGATGACGTATTTACCATCTTCGTTCAAAACAAATTGAATCTGTTTATCAGATTACTGAGCAATCCGACTTGTTTTTCCTTGATTTTAACGCGAATATCTAATGTTAATAGGGATAACTGCTTTATCTACAAAGTAATGAAAATTTCTAACCACCTAGGGCTAAGCTTCATTCAGTTTTTGATTAAGGGGGAAAAAATCATTATCAAACGTCGTAACGATGACGTAGAAGATAATATAGCGGAAATTGTAAACCAGGTCTTTTAATTCTGGAACATCAGAGAACAGAGAATGATATTCAAAAATTTGATGGAAGAAAGGATTCCAAGAAGAATCTAAATTAGAATTTCAATTTAGAGTATAAACTATTAGTTTTGTGGTCTTTTTATTTTTTACCTGTAATTTGGGTGATGAAAAGAATATATAAATAAATAAAATATTTAGGAAAAAAATTATAAATATTGCAAATACACAACATGTTAATAAAAGTACTAAATTTGACTTTCTTATCTGAAAGTTAATACTTTCCTTTATATCGTTGATGTCTTTTTTGATTATTATTATAGTCTTCGATTTGCTTTTATTGAACTCGTTTTCAAGTTTGTCAAGCCGATCTGTTATTATTTTTAGATTTGTATTTATGATATCGCTAAATATCTTTTCCTGTTTTTTTAAAAGGTTGATAGTTTCACTAAGAATACCTTTTTTATGTTCTTCCAGTTTGGTGGTTATTAGTTTTTCAATATTTATCATTATAACTTTCATATTGCAAATTTTTTGATAAACACTTCTTGCTCTTACAATGCCGCAGATGAATAGTTCTAGTATAGTTAATTTCTAAAATTATTTAAACTTTTAAATAAAGCAATTTATTTTTTTTACTTTTTTATTTTTTTCTTATTCTGAGAGCCATTTGAAATTCTTTTCTTTTTTTGGTTTGTTGGCTTTTTAATTTGTAGAGTAAAGCGGAAAGAATGAAATGGTTATGATAACGTTTATTCTCTTGCTCTTACTTATTTATTTGAATATTATAAACATTTTGCAAATATTTTTTAATCGCGTTGTGGAGAAGTTTTTTCTGAATAGGATGGTATAAAGTTTTAGTACAAAATAAATAATTTAATAATAATAAATAATTTAATAAATAATAAATAATTTAAATAATGAATGGTCAAATTTTCTACACTCTCGCGGAAAGTGTGGAGTCTTCCTCCACACCGCTTTCACTTCTAGACACAAGTATGGTGTTATTTTGCACACTTTTGTGGAAATAAACTTTTTCTAACTCGACTTCTGCACAGAAGTGTGGAGTTATTTGCACAAAATTGTGCAAAATAACTCCACACTTGTGTCTAGGAGTGATAGCTACAAACCGGTGTAGAGAAAAACTCCACATTTTCCGCGAGTGTGTACACAATCTTAGCCACTACCTTCTAAATCTACACCAACAATATTTAACATTAGCATACGTTGTATAACACCAGCTTTAAAGTCAACTCTCCTGCAACCAACCCTGAATATAACTCCGGCTATTCAAAAAGAAATTCAAAATGAAGTTGAAAATCAATCAAAATCAGCCAATCAGCTTGCCGCAGCTTTGCAGCAAATATTTCTCATCCAACACGTCGACACAAAAAACGAATATTGAATGATGCTGACAGAAAAAAAGCAGCAAAGCAATAAACAACGTAAGCTTGACTTGAGTAGCAGAAAAGTCAATCAACGACATCAACTCTAACAAACAACAGCAGCAACAAACCAAGTCAAGTATAAAAAGTGCCTTAATGTTTTGAACGAACCAAGTCAAGTGTAAAAAGTGCCTTAATGTTTTGAGCGAGTCAAAATAGTGAATTTGGATCGGTGCGAAAGTTCAAAGTACGAGGTTTTGCATTGTCAAACATACATTTAATAGTAAAATATAAAGGAACCGAATTTTGTTGCATCAAAAAATGCAGCACTAAAGACAACTCAACTCAACCTTTCAGAATCTCCTAAAGACTCAACATCATCACTTAAATAAAATTACTTTCTTAACTGATTGGTTATTTTTTAGTTGTACTTACTAGTTTACATTACTAGTTTTTTTTTTTATTATCATTGGTTGTCTTTTTTAAATAAAGTATTCTATTAATTACCCAACAATTTGTATATTTCATCATCCTCAAATATGAGAGTAGAATGAAATTTTTTTTTTCAATTAAATAAAGTTTCTTTTAAAAGAACTATTTGATTTTTATATATTTACCCAGTGAGCATACGTCTTCCGGGAGTCACCGTCGGTCCGATGTTTCACCGGCACACCAACCACTGTGTCAAGGATGGTCGCATATACCATCAATTAATAGCAAGAATTTCACAATTTTTACTTTTACTAAAATCTATAAGCATAAACAAATAATTCATAACTGACAACGCTAACATTTAAAAAAGCCGCGTTTGAAAAAGTAGAAATTTCAAATCATTCAAAAGCAACTGACTTGGAGGCTGATTCGAATTCACAAATCTTTTGATACGCCGCCCAAAATAAACATTTTCATTAGTTTAAACAACGGGGACTTCCACAACTATAAAACTTACAGCAAAATTAGTCTTTAATGTTGATATAACTTCGTTTTATGGTAATATTAAAGAAACATTTTTTGATTCAGCAGGTTTAACTCTGGAAACAAACTTCAAAATCACAACATCACAATTAAGCTAAATAAATGAAGCGACGAATCACCATTATTTAGTTTTTTTAATTGCACTTAATACGATGTTTGATTTATAATTTTCATGAATATTTTTATGCTAAGCCAACAATATCTTTAGATATACCAGTATAACGTTTTATGGGAATATCAAAGAATGATTTTCTGATTTAGCAGGTTAAACTACTTGGCAAATATAGCATGAAATTCAAATAAATAATGATAATAGTATCAAGCTTCTCCTGCAAAAAAGGAATTTAATTATTCATTTATTTGAATATAAGGTTTACAAGATAAGCCATAACACGTTATATTTTACATACGGATTTATATCGAGCTGAGTATAAACAACTCTTACCTATTATAAATGAGCATACAAATAACAAGAAGAATATATAAAAAACCTTTATGAAAATTTATTTATTAATAATTTATTATACATTTATAATGGCTAAAAATATATTCAAACAATTCTTTACTAAAACGCAATCAACTAAATCATAAAATAAACTTCACGAGATAAATAAACTTATTTTATGAGAGGGAAGGGGAGAAATAACAGCGGTAATGTACTATCGACATTTATATAACATATTAATGCACTACCGATGTTAAAGACAAAAATACCAACTGAAAGTGAAACACAACTTTTTTTCAAAATTTTCTGACGAATTATTGAGATGGTCCAAATCTTTGTTGAAATATTGGCATTCCGTTTTGACTTCGTATAACAGTATCACCAATGGCTACTAAATCACTATTAAGTAAAGTTGTAAATTGAAGATTTCCCGGGAGAACACCTTGTGTAAATAATTGCAGTCCACGATTTGAAACTGGTATATTTCCTTCCGCTTCTACTGTGATGCCATGTGGTAGATCTTGTTGGTGTTGCGCAGCATCAATTTGTCGTCGAAGGCTTTCGCTGTTTAATTGCGTAGACTCAAGCTGTCTATCCAATGTTTCTTGGAGATGATTGGTCTCTTCAGTAGTTAATTGACGAATAACGCTTTGTGAACTTTCTCGTAAATTGGACTCTCGGGCTAAACTTTCTCTAAGAATACTTTCGTTTATTTGTCTCACAACGCTTTCAGGTACCTGTCTTGCAATTTGAAACTGAGGAGAATTGCCTGAATGTTGGTTGATAGTGTAAAGCGTTTCAAGTGTAGTACGGGTTTGTTGTTGATCACCACTTCCATCTTGAGAATTAGGCGAGGTTAAGTAAGTGGATCCGTTAACTGTTTGTAGCGCGAGGTTACTCATTGTGGCTAATGTTATGTGATGTTGACTTGGATCAATACAATCTTGTGAATCTATGTCATCTTTTCGATATTTATGTTGATCCTATGTCAAACCAAAATTTTTTTTAAAGACTTAATTTATTTTAAAATTTTAATAGGAGAAACAAAAAAATTACAACAAAAAATATGAAAAATTAATTTTGATTATACCTTTTCTCTTTCCTTTTTTAAATTTGAAGCAGCTCTTGCTAACCTTGCAGCAGTCTCAGCTTCAACTACAGCTTTGTGCTGTTGAATAAGCGGTTCAGGAGCGAGTTCTTCAAAAGGCTTCGGTATTTCAGGATTTTCAACATTATGTTGCTTGTACATATGTTGAATGAATTTTTTCGGACCTGGCTGCCCTTTTCCACAAACAGTACAGTAATAGCGAAAAACACCTGATAAAAATATTAAAATATAAAACCTGCTATTACTTTTAGAGTTCAATTTAACTTATTTTAAGATTATTTGAAAAAAAAGCTTGGTACTTATCTTCTACAGCTTTATATTATACTATCTAATAATAAATGTGCACAATTTTTATACCAAGTACACAAAACATATAAATATAATCATATATAATATTAAACTATATATAGTTTGTAGATTATATTATTATAAATTTATATAAATTATTTCCTGCTAGTGGGCAAAACACACGAAAAGTTAGTAAAAATGGAAGGTACCTCAATATTGTCATATTTCAAATCAAAATACATTTTTGAAGTCAATTGAATTTTGACTATAATTTTTCAAAATATAATTGAAAACATAAAAGTAGTAATTAAGAAATCATAATATATAATTGAAAAAAAAAACACTTAATTTAGAATTAGTAATATGTAATTGGGAAACACAACATATAATTTAGAATGCATAGCATATAATTAAGAAACACAATATGTAATTAAGATTTAGTAGTATGTAATTTTAAAAAAATAATTCAAATCCGTGTCAACATTAATTTCACCAAACTTGTTTATATCCATTTGACTAGATTGACTCGTTTTTTAGAGCAGAACTTTTAAAACATCTTTCCATCATTTAGTTATTATACTAACCACTATGTTAAAATATGAACTCAAAATATTTAAAAACATTTGAAATCAAAAATGTCATGAATGATGTCATGAATGGATAAAAAAATTTTTTGAGATGAGAGTATCCCTTGGAGTTGCAATTAATAAGTCTCATCAATAAACCTAATCTTAAACTGTGTTGGAATATTGGTCATCCTTATGCTTTTACTCCCAGGTTTGTTACCTGCTTCAATCATAACTATTTCCAACATTTCTTTAAATTTATTTACATTATAGACATCCAAGTTCAGTTTTTATTTAAACACTTTAATATAAAAATTTTATTTAGTATCCCCATACAAAAAAACAACAACAAAAAATCAAAAATCTATAGATGAGAATATGATTGGCTACAAGGAAAAGACGCCACATCTAATTTATACCAAACAAACATTCTAGATTTAAAAAGAATTTATAGTGTTTTAGACAGTACCAATGGTTATTTGTGTTTGTTTAAAATTTAAAAGAGAGGAAAAAACCCAGATAAGGCAGCCATTGGCTAATCTGGTTTTTTTACGTGGTTGTAACCACAACTAAAGCAGCCTTCTCAACTTTAGTGGCCTTCATGGGCTTGGGGAGGTGAATTAAAATGAAAAAAAAAAAAATATATATATATATATATATATATATATATATATATATATATATATATATATATATATATATATATATATATATATATATATATATATATATATATATATATATATATATATATATATACACACACACACACACACACACACATGAATAATTATAAATATATTCTCAATGCTCTTAAAAGAACAGAGCAGTAATAAATTAGTAAAAAATTTTCTACCGTGTTTTATCTATAAAGATTTCTAATGAGTCTTGATAAATAAAACACAGTGTAAAATCAAAAAAATATGATAAGTGATCTTTCACTATTATATATATATATATATATATATATATATATATATATATATATATATATATATATATATATATATATTATACTGCTGGTTTAGGTGAGTAATCTGTCATACTGAAATAGCATGTTGTCAGAGCTTCAGTACATACATCGAGAGACAAATAGCTACATCGTGCTGCAGGTGTGGTATGGGGCAGCAATCTTTTCTTTTATAATTCCTTGTTTTATTTATATTCAATTAATGTAACAAAATTATTATAACAAATTGTTGCCATATTTTGTTACATTAATTATATATGAAAATTCATATTTAATTAATGTAACAAAAATATGGTAACAATTTGTTACATAAATATGCTATAGTAGATATGTGTGTGTGTGTATATATATATATATATATATATATATATATATATATATATATATATATATATATATATATATATATATATATATATATATATATATATATATATATATATATACATATATACACACACACACTTATTATGTAACTATTATATAATTATTATATAATTGTATAATATAAATAATTACATAACTATTTTATATATATGTATAAAAACGCTCTAATAATTCTTGTTTTAATGCGTTAATAAGTCCCTGTGTAATAAGATTTAGCAACTAATAATAAATAAAATAATATTTGGTAACAACTTCAAAAATGACAACTTCAAAACTGCAACCTCATAATTTACCAGCATTATGGCATCAAGAGACACGAATTTTCTACAGATATCGAATCAAGCTTCCTCAAATTTATACATAGGACAAAAAATTCAATTTCAAATTGATATGCTGCACTGGATAAGGCAGCTGACCGCTCATGCCCTTGAACTTGGGGGAGAGATCAGCTCGCTGAAAACTCAGGCAACAATAAACAAAGAGACAACTACAGCTCTAAAACAAACAAAAATTGATCTTGAAAAAGAATTTCCATCCTGAAACAACCGAAACCAACAAGCAGCGGAGTAACATACTCAATAAAAGGGGGCACAAAAATAACAGACAGAAATAAAGCTATTGTTATACAAGTCACTCGTTGAACTGAACAAAAGAGAAAAAATTGAACATAACATAGTTATAAGCGGAGCCAATGAATGTGACTTAAAAGATCCAGAAAAAAGAAAAAAAACAAGATAAGGAAAGCATCGAATCACTGATAGTTGCCCTAGGACTCAAAAAAGAAACTGTCAAGTGTACGCAAAATAAAAAAACAGCACCAAGTAGACTTGTCAAATAGAGCAACAAATGCAACCAACACATTTGCAAACACGATAATTGCAACTAAACGATCTTCACTAACAATAGTAGTACTCGATAACCATAATAGACAAATTGAACTGTTAAAAAAGCGTAACAAGCTAAGAACAATGGAAGGCTGCGACAACGTGTACATTGATAGAGATAAAACAAAGACAGAAGAAGACATAGAAAACAGACTAAGAATTGAAAGAGATGAGCGTAATAGCAAACTAACTCACGTTGAAGAAAAACCTTGAGATACAAAAAAAAAAGAAATGGAAAGCGCTATTATTGGGGGATAGGCAATGGTGTACTCGTGTGGGTGCCACAAAAAGAAGACAGATCAAATTTATAGCAAAAAAAAAAAAAAAGCAATAAAAATTGTTGCAGCCTCATTGATATGTAAACAAGAAAAACAACTCAATGGAAACTCGAATTCTTCCCTCACTCAACTTGTTGACTTTCCCACATTCATAAAAGCAAATAGACATTGTAAAACCACTCTTGAATTCTGGTGAATTCCTTCACCAATTCTGTTTGCCACACGATACCACAAACTCACTGTCAGCTAACAGTATAGTAATATTATCAAACAATGCCCAACAACATCTCATCCCGCCAATTTATACTGCAACTTCATCATCAAATATCAACTTGATCGCAGCAGCAAAAAACCAATACGGCCATCAGCTAAGTTTGCCACATGACACCACAAACTTGCAACAAATTTATAACTCGATAGCGGCAATAAATAATGATAAACATATAAGATGTATATACACCAATGCAACATCGCTAAATGCAAACAAACTCAAAAAAATCACAGCATACAGACTTGGTCAGGAAGCTGGTGGGATCGCACTCGATAATTAACCAAGGAAATAATATTTAGTTGCGAAAAACCGGCCAGATTTTATAGTCGTTTTGAGCACATTTCAAAAACAAAAAAAAAAAAACTGGACCGATAAGAGACAGTTAAAAAAAGTAAAATAGCTTTTAACGCGAAAAAACTTTAAGTAAAATAAATTTATTAGAGCAATTTTTTTTGAAATGTCGCTCTTTTATAATTTTTTTTATAAAATTAAGCGACATTTTTTATATAAAGTAACAACTATAAAGAAACAAATGTTCTTTGATTTATCAGAGTATATATAATTTTTGTTTATATACTTATGCCTTATTTCCAGTTGCAGATTAAGGAGGTGGGATGGGGGTAGTAGGGCTATAGCCTCGGTACTCATAATGTTAGGGGAAATAGTCAAGAGGACCATTCGGTATTTTTTTACTCATTTTTACGCTATGGCACATAAATAAGACCGCCAAAATAATGCAGTCCCCGGCCCTAAAAAGTCCAACAAGATTCAACCAATAATACTAACGCTAGATGATTTATTTATAAATAAAAAAGTGTTTTCAATAACTGTTTTATGCTTCGTGTAGTTTAAAAAGTTTAACACATTTTAAACAATTCTTCTTAGTAAGATGAACAAATGAAATAAATAAATCATTGAGTTACTCTATAATTTCAATTACCTAGATAGAAATTAACTAAAAACGTTAAATTACTTTGTGAGGAGGAAACAGAATTGCTTCACAATAACGCTGATGGTGTTTAGTGAGTGGGCTTTATAATTTTAATTAGTATTTAAAACAGAAAAAAGTAACTTTAAGTATAGCAAGTTTGTAAGAATGGCTGAAGCAAAAATAATTGAAGTTAGTAAACCAATTTCTAAGAACTTGAAAAATTTTCTTTCTTGGGAGAAAGAATCAGTTATCTGGTACACTGAGGAAATTGGATTAGTGGTTAAAATTATTTGTATTAACTTTGACGAATATTAATAATTTCATTGAAAACGCAGTTATTATTGAAAGTATTTTTGTTTACAAAATCAATTGCACAAATTGCTTTAAAAGATTACATTTGAATAAAATACACATACATAAATTACATAGATAAAAATACATTACATACATAAAAATACACTACATACATAAAAAATACATCCCTTATATATAAAAAATAAGAATATACTGATAAAATCTAAAGTATATTTAGAAAACGTTGACAAGTTAAAAAATATAATTTTTAAACATTTATTATTGTAAACAAATAATGTTAGTTTAAAACATTTATAGGTTTGTAGATGTGGCTCTAAGA